GATTCATGTTTTCATCAACATTTTCATGACCACCAAATGATCTGTACAAAAAGATAGTTCAGTGGCTTGGGCATCTGGCTGTGGATCCAAAGGTTGGGAGTTCAATTCTCCACTGTGCCTCCTTGACAAGGGCTGGACTCGATGAACTATAGGGTCCCATCCAACTCTGCAGTTTTAAGATTAGGCAAACTACCATATTTTTCCATGTATAAAATGACACTTTTTCCTAAAATAATTAAAGGAAAATTTGAGGGTCATTTTATACTCAGAACTAAGGGGGAGAGAGATCAAAGTGCTTTGATCTCTGTTTCCCCCTCCACGTTTTGCAAAGAAAGCACTTTCCCCCTGCATTTTCTTTGCAAAACCTGGAGGGGGGAAGCTGCTTTTCACAATGAAAATGTAGGAGAAAAGCAGCAATCACTTTCCCCCTGCATTTTCTTTGCAAAACCTAGAGGGGGAAAGCTGCTTTTTGCAATGAAAATATAGGGGGAAAGCCTCACCATATATAAAATGCCCTCCACTTTCTTGCAAAGAAAGAAATTTTGATTTAGAAAAGTGGGGGGCATTTTATACATGGTGAGTCTTATACATGGAAAAATATGGCAATATGTGTATTAAGCACAGAAGCAAAGTGAATTAGATGTTCCTCCTAGTGAAGCTAAAATTATCTGAGATGTTTCTGCTTATTCTTGAGATTTTGTTTTCTTTTTCCTATTTCAGTGTACACTATTGTTGATAAGGTATGTTATTTTTAACATGCTGCATGTTCCAACAGATAGAGAAAAGATGGAATATAAGCAAGCCTAGATTGCATAAATAAAAAAATAGTAAATGGCGATGTGGCTATTTTGGTATGATTTTTGATCTTAACACGATATTGCAAGATGATAATTGTCCTTTTTATACATCCTTTCATCACACTGCAGTTTCTCTGGCTGCCTACAATTCCTGATGAGGAAAAAAACAAACCTCTCCAGAAGGACTTGCAATATCTACCAAGAGCTTTTATTAAAATATGAAGGTAGAGGGCAGGCGGTCCATCCAGTTTCCAGCCCAGGATGAATAAGTACTGAGAAAAATGGAGAAAAAAATAACAAAAATAAATGAAAAAGATTTGAGGTAGGGAAGAAGATAACTCATAATTGGTTTCTACCCTGACAAAGCTGGATACATTTGCTGGTGAAGACATAAAGAAGTACATAAATAAATGAACAGTAGAATGTAAAATATTACATTGAGACAATAAAGTAATTGCTTTACTTTGCAAGAGAACTGTGTCTTTGAAGGCATATCTATGCTACTATTTTTATCAATTACATAAGACATGAACTGTCATTATCCTTGAAAAAAGACTCAGTATTGTAGTTCAGTGTGGGTGCCAAGAATTCAGATACAGTGGTGCCTCGCAAGACAAATGCCTCACAGGACAAAAAAACTCACAAGACAAAAGGGTTTTGAGAGATTTTTGATGCCTTGCAAAACAGGGTGTCTTGTGATATTTTTTGTCTTGCAAGGCGCATTTCCCATAGGAATGCATTTAAATTTAATGTGTTCCTATTGGGGGGGAGAGTCAGAAACCAAAAGAAAAGTCAGCAAAAAGTCACTTACCAGGTACAGTAGACTGAGCCCCGCCCCTCACGGTGCCTTTGTAACCCCAGAACAGCCAGAAAAAGAGCACCAAACAGCTCAGAGTTGGCAACCAGCAGGGAGGTGGCAGCCATTTTGTGGTTGTCTCTGCTCCTGCCCCCCCTCTCCCCGCCTCTCAGCTGATTGGCACTGGGTTTAAGAGGCTTTTTCCATGCTAGGCAAGCCTCAGGAAGCCTCTTTGTTTTAGTTTGTGCTCCAACAATTAATAATCCTGGGCTTTTTCATTTCTCCATAAATCTCAGCTAAGCCACCCCAAATCTGAGACCTCAAACAACCCATTTTAATTTCACCTTGAATTGCCATCTCCACTCCAGCTCTGTCAAAATTTGTGAGAAAAACATCCTCCTTATTGCTTTTATAATATCTGGGAAATTTCATCATAGCTACTGTAGGTGAGGAAAATTATTGGTACTATTGTTATTATTTGAGGAATTTGCTGCCAATTCTGGTTCCCTCATTCTTAACTGAAATTCCATTCTTAAAAAATCTCATTTCCTTTTCCTTTTCTATTTCCAGTTCCTTTAATTTCATTTCCAATTCCTTTAATTTCATTTCCTTTTGTAATTCTAACTCCCTTAATTTCATTTGAATTAAGAAAACACAAGTCATGGGCCAGGGTGTGGACTCACCTCCCTCTATTACCATCTCCACACAAGAATTGGAGGTTGTTCATGACTTTGTGTACCTTGGCTCAACGATCTCTGACACCCTCTCCCTAGATGCCAAGCTGGATAAATGCATTGGAAAAGCACCTACCATGTTCTCTAGATCCACAAAGAGAGTATGGCTTAATAAGTTGATGACATACTGTATACCAAAATCCAGGTCTACAGAGCCTGTGTCGTGACTACACTCCTGTACTGCAATGAGTCCTGGACCTTTTGTGGTCAGCAGGAGAGATAGCTGAACACATTCTTTTGTGTTTGCCCTCATGGGCCCTGCTTGTTTACCCAAACACAGAGCTCACAAGGTACCTCGGCACACCCTCTGATACGCTGCCACCACTTGATCTCTTTTATCAAATTAGTTTACTTAGAAAAGATGAAGGTCCATCCAATACTGAAGTTTCAACAGAACAGGTTTATTAATTGCAGACGGTTTCTGTAGTAATTCATACGCATATTCTTCAGGATTCATCAATCATCAATATTAACCTTCTATATTAATTATCACAGGTTGCATAGTCTGGTAACGCAGCACCTCTGTCACTCCTTCTCCCAGGCTCTGCCTTTTTATCATCTTGTTCGGCCCCACCTCTTAACCACATTAACATCTAACATGAATAATGCATAACTTACAATGCATAACTTAAGGTGAACGGTACACGTTCCATATGCGTTGTCTCCGACGCATTTTTGGTATCACCTGGCAGGACAAAGTTCTAAATAGAGTAGTCATAGAACACATTGAAATTTTTAGCATATATACATTACTGAAACAGCGACTTCTACGTTGCCTTGGGCATGTCATGAGAATGGCTGATGTTCAGATTCCAAAAGATCTCCTGTATGGAGAACTAGTGCAGGGAAATTGCCCCAGAGGTAGACTACAGCTGTGATACAAGGGTATCTGCAAGCCACATCTGAAGGCCTTAGGTATGTACCTCAACAGATGGGAAACCTTGACATCTGAGCATTCAGCCTGGAGGCAGGCGGTGCACCATGACTTTTCCAATTTTGAAGAGACCCTCATCCAGCAGGCCGAGGCAAAGATGCAGTCCCGAAACCAGCAAAATCAGGGAGCTGGACAGGTGACAGATTGTATTTGTCTTCAGTGTGGAAGGGATGGTCACTCTCGAATTGGCCTTTTCAGCCACACTAGACGCTGTTCCATGTCCTCCATACAGAGCACGTTACCATAGTCTCTTGAGACTGAAAGATGCCTAATCTAAAATTTTATTTTTTGTTCCATTTTTTTCAGCTTTCCATACTTCCAAATTCTGTGGAATCTCAACAAGAACAGGGCTTGTGGGAGTATCCTCCAGAAAACTTTCAACTGCTTGGCTTTCTTCATTAATCTGGGTTTTCATTTCTGATTTTTTTAGTCTTTTTGGAGGCATGTACTCGTATTTCCTTACGACTACCTTGAAACGCTTTCCTCAGGAAATACTTTAAAACTGTTCCTGTCATTTCTTTCATTGACCAGGGTATGTTTCCTTAGTGTCTTTTTATGCTACTCAAAAACTTTTACCTCAGAACAACGCTGCACTAATTGGTTTTTTGTTTTGTTTTATTCAGCTTTCCTAGCAATTCTCTTACTAATTTGCCTCAATTTTTTACCTCACAGAATGCTTTGCTGAATTTAATTCTTCCAGTGTCTCCTTATGTTACCACAAGCATTTTATTTCGGGGGACTACAGCAAAATTACCTTGGTCTTCCTCCAGCTTTCCCCAATTCTCCTACCACTTACCTTAAACAGTTACCTAGAGAATGGTGTTAACTGACAGGGCAACTGACATTTTCAAATAACTCTTAACTGTCCCTGAGTTAGAAATTCTAGTGAACAGGTCTACAAATCCACCTAGGATTTGCCTGAGACTGCTTCAGAAGCTTCAAAATCTTCCCCAGCGCTTTGGATCCTGCTCCTCTACTCAGTCTTTAAATCCACTACTTTGGATTTTCCTCAGACCTCTCCTGGCTTTTCAAAAACAACAACACTCTACTCAATTCTTCATATCCCACCACTGCCACCCATTATGTGACCTGTCCTACCTGCCTAATCATGTCTTGGTTTGCCTTGTCTTTTCTACTGCGCTATGCTTAAGCCCAAATCATAAGAACCAAGCAGTTTTAAAATGAAACAGAAAATAAATTTCTTTAGTTAGTAAGCAGTTACAAGGCACTCTCATAAGCTTGAAGTTTCATGTGTTAAAAGAATCAGCTTTCCATGCTAGAACAAGTTCTATCCTATCCAAAGTAACTAGAATAAATGGAAATCCACACTCCTGTCCTGAGATACCTTCTAAGGGCTTCTCCTTAACTCTTTGTTAACGGACAAAACCTCTCCTCTCTTGTTTTAAATATATCTTGTTGTCTTCTCTGGATTGGTTCTATTTTCAGCCAATCATGTTTTTCTTGATGTTGCTGGGTAGAAGAGGTGAGGGTTCTGTCACAAGTATAAACTAGAATTAAAGAAGCAGTCATTTGTTCTGTGAAAGTGCTATCTGTTTCTTGTCAAGTTCAAGGCAGCAAAAAATTCAAAAGGAGTGATCAAGGATGCAACAGTAGATGTTTTAGTTCTGTCGATGTCTGGTCTTTTTAACTGTCACCTGATCCTATTTAGGCAATGTCAACAAAAATGTACCACTGAACAGATGACTTAAAGCTTGCTGATTTACAGTTTGACCGCCTGCCCAACTATTATTGGGTGTCTCTCATGTAGCCCCAGAAAGAAATTGCTATGGAGAAGTTGAGATTAGAATGAAACAGGTAAAGGTGGCCAATGTGCATTCTCTTTCACTGATATAAAATGGCATTTTATACCAATGAGTGTTTATTATAGATACATTACTGCCCTGAAAATATATCCAATGGCTAAATTTCATAGAAAAAGATATTCACTTGAAAAAGAATTTCACACGCTTAATATTCAGGATCCTTATGCTTACCTTACCTAGTAAATGGTTAAGAAGTTGTATGTGTATGTCTTCTACTGTGCGACAGCTGGTAGTCACCCTTTTCAGCTGTCAGGCTTTCAAGTAAACTCCATAAGGTAAATAATTCCTTCCATAAGGCTTTTTAAGATTAGGAAGCATGAGCAGGCAATGCAGCTGCTGAGATGTAGTGAAATGTGCAAAAGAAGGAAAAATAAAATAAATGCAGCATCTTCCAATTCTGCAAGCTTAAAAAAAAACAGCAAACAAAATCATAAAGGGAAAAATTCTGAAGTACCTAAAACTGAGACAGAAAAATGCAAGTATCTTTTGTGAGAAAACAAAATGTATTATCATTATTATTCTTATTGCTATTATTATCAGCATTCTCATTCAAGGTTTTTTATAGGTTTGTTTTTAAGTGTTAAAGATTCAAAGTTCATTAAAAAGAAAGAAGTGGCTTAGCAACAGGTATTTAATGGGCTTAGTTCAAAGAAGAAGGATGAATCAGGCTGTAGAACCAACAGCTGAAGAAAGTGATCCTTTCCTTCCTTTATACCTCTAGCCTAAAATAAAAACATAAACCCAATCCGTTCCGCTGAGACTAGATAACAGCACATTGTGGAGATAACAGTTATATATGAACTCCTATTGCTGGTGGCTTAATTTAGCTGACATACACTAATAATTGATCAAGATACTGTCAGTTATCCAATTGAAGGTACTCAGTGTTCTGGCCATGTCCCAGCACAGACAAGCATTATTATAACTTACTGTGTAAAGAATAGACCTACTATCTAAAGAATCTAGAGTGTAGGGTTTTACATACCTGCCATGAGCAGTGAATGTGATCTAAATGGGCAGCTTGTGATTTCTCTTTCCTTTAGTGCTATCTTTCTCATTATTGATTTCCATTTGATATCTTATTTTCTCTACCTTTCGTATCATATCTTGCTCCTTTTCTTCCTCTATTTACCTACAAGGTTTCTGTTTTTGTAAGTATAAGTTTTTTTTATTTTAAGATTATGCAAGGTCTGGTAAGTTGTTTTTAGAATTTCATCATGTGATGTTGCAAAGAGCGGTTAACTGTATGAATGAGGTTTCACTAATCCATCTCCACAGATAAAACTTTCATTGTCGTATACTTTCCTCTGTGGTTGGTGTGATGTAATGTTTAGAGGAGGTTGAGAAAACTGGCCTTCCAGCTGTTTTTAAATTACTGTTCATATAATGCAGCTGTGTTTGGTCTGCAGCTGCTACAAAACCTCACTGTTTACTAGGAGTGAGAGTTGTAAGGTAGAAACATCTGGACAGTCTCCAATGCCTACTCCTCATTTAGAGCACTGGACTAGAAATCTCTACTTAGCCATAAAACTCAGCATGACCTTGGTTTAGTCACTCTCTCAAGCTAAACTGCTTCATAGGTGTGTTGGGAGAATAAAATGGATGAGGAAAAATCTTTTGTTTTGTTTTGAAACTGCTCATAGGAAAGCCATGATTAAAAAGCAAAAACCAAAACACAGAGAAAATGCAGTAGTTGTCTATGAATACAATCAGGGAAAGCTAGATATTATGCTGTTTTAGACTGCATGGCTTCCATATGTCTGACAAAATGAACATGTCCGCAAAAGCTCACATTAAAATATAGTAGTTACTCTTTAAGATTCCACATGTTTTTGTCCTCTTTGTTTTGTTTCTTTGGATTTTGCTTGATCCTATGCAGAGTTGGATGGGATAGATTGAGGCTTTCTCAAAAAGTTAATTATTCTATTGTTAAATTAAATTTATTTTTATAAATTTACTTCCATGAGAAGATATATTTCTGTTGCTTTTGCCTGGGGTGTCAAGTGTTTGGCTTTGTTCACCAGACACATTGACTTGAGTGGTTAGGGGAAACAAAAATTATAGTTTATTCTAGCGCTGTACTGAAAACTTGTCGTATGAGAATTTTGACCAGTCTCCTGCAATTTGATAGAAAAGAAATTGTATGAGAATTTCAAAGGCAGAAAAAAGATGGACAAATTCTTGTGGGTGAGCCTCAGTTTCCTGTGCTTATCTTGTTATCATGTGACCAAGGAGTATACGTGGATGCCTTGTTCTTTATTCCAAGATCTGATCCCAAACAGTGTCAAATGCCAAACTTGAAAATTTGACAGTACAGTGGAGTCTCTACTTAAGAACGTCCCTACTTAAGAACAATCCAACTTAAGAACAGCTCCATTTGCTAAATTTTGCTTCTACCTGAGAACAGAAATCCAAGATAAGAACAGGAAAAAAAACCTTTCCTGCTCTTTTTTTAACCTTAGGTCATCTTAGGTTAAAAAAATTTCTCCCCCTAGTGGTAGAGTACATATTAACCAGCTTTGCATTAGTTCCTATGGGAACTAATGCTTCAATGTACGAACGCACCTCTACATAACAAAAAAACAGCCAGAACGGATTAATTGGTTTTCAGTCCATTCCTACGGGAAATTTTGCTTCAACTTAAGAACGTTTCAACTTAAGAACACCATTCCAAAACGGATTAAGTTCTTAAGTAGAGGTTCCACTGTAACTAGTTATTGGTTTAAAAAAATGTGCAACTAGTTGCTTTTTGGATAAAGAATAATATAACTAGTAGTTTCAACATTATTTTTCAGATGTAACCTTACATGACTTACTGTATTTTTCGCTCCATAAGACCACCTCTCCACAAGACGCACCAAATTTTTAGGAGAAGAAAACAGGAAAAAATAATTTGTTTTCTTCTCCTAAAAATTGGTGAGCCTTATGGAGAGGTCCATCTTATGGAACATACCCTAGGACCCTTTGGAGGCTCACTCTGCCCCCCCGGGGGTCAGAGGGGGCGAAATCACCAGCTTCTGGGACTTTTCTGAAGCTTCCCAAGCCTCAAAAGAGTCCCAGGACGCCAGGGGGGCAAAATTGCCAGCTTCTGGGAGTGTTTGGAGGCCTCCCAAGCTTCCAAACACTCCCAGAACCTGGCGATTTCGCTGGCGCTGGCCCCATGCGGGGGTGGGAGGAGCGTCGCAAGGGTCTGAGTGAGCTTTCCAGGACTCTTGCAATACTCCCCCCCACCTGGAAGCTGGCGCTGGCCCTGTGGGGGGTGGGGGAGCCTCGCAAGCAACGAAATTGCTGCCTTCGCTCAATAAGAAGCAGGGACTTTTCCCCCCACATTTTTTTGGGGGAAGTACGTCTTATGGAGCAAAAAATACGGTAGAATGAATGACACCTAGTTTTTCTGCAAAGTTAATTTTAAAGGTTTTAAGCCATTTTTACAGGTGTTCTAGTAAGCTTTTTTTCCCTTCTTTCAGTTTTGTGCCATTATATTATCAGTCCTAAATGATAAGGAAAATATTTGGTTTTGTCTTTGATATTTTAAAAAATATTTCCAATATCAGAATTGGCCACTGGAGGGAGCCAGAGAATTTCCCCCTCTATTTCTCTGGCTGGCAGCAAAAATAATCAACAGATTAATAATAAGTACTGGTAATTCAACAAATTATTTACATGATCAAAGCCATTCTAACAACAACTTGGCTCCCAAGAAATTAATGAGTAACATGATGGTTTCCTTTTAAATCGTACAATAACAGTCCAGGTTCTGGCTGAGGGAAGCATTGTGTCATATTTACTTTTCTCTCTCCTTTAGAAAAAGAAGGGATTATCACCAAACATTTCCTTTCCCAACACTGCCTTGCCCTAGACATTATGTATAGGGTACAAAGAAATAATAATTGTGTGCCACAGAAAGTCAATTCTGACTTATGGTGACTCTTCTCGAGGTTTTATAGGTAGAGAGTACTTAGAAGTGGTTTACCACTACTTTCTTTTGGGGGTGCCCTGGAACTGTACAGTTTCCCCTTGGCCACACAGGCTGGCTCTACTCGCAGGAGGCACAACTTCCAACCTCTGCCTCCGCAGACAGTTATCTAAACCACTGAGCTTTCCAGCCAGCAAAATGGTAGTCAAATTGCTAGTATAGTTATTGTTGCTGCCACTTCCAGTGACAGTGCAAAATAAACAAACAATCAACCCTGATTTGGATGGGAGCAAAGCTATGCTACACCCTCTGCAGATAGTTCCACTCTTCTCTGAGAAACTATTGGATTCTCCAGTCATTCTCTTGGGGGGACTTCCCCTCCACATTTCTTTGCCTAAATATAGGATGATAGATTTTGAAAGGCATTTCTATACAGTGGTAGTTGACTCAATACATTTCTCTAACTGCCAGATTTGCGGTGCACTATACTAAAGGCTTGACTAAAGCCAGGTTAAGCTGATCATTTTTATCTAACTATAAATGTTGAGATGGAAATCTATGAGCAGTTGAAATGTTTATTCAGTCTCAGATTATGTGTTAATTTATCAGAGCCAGAAAACATTAAAGGGGGGGGGGAGTAAAGTGTGATGTTTATGCATCATCCATAGTACTTAAAGCAGTGGTCCCCAGCCTTTTTAAAACCAGGAACCAGTTTCATTGAAGACCATTCTCCCACAAGTGGTGGGCATCTGTGCATGTGTGCGTGGAGTGGGGGGGAATGCATGTGTGTTTGCATGCATCTGTGCATATGTGTGGGGGGTGTGTGCATCTGTGCATGCGTGCGGGGGGCAGGCGGGGGGTATGCATGCAGCCGGCAAGCGTCTGTGCAGGCAGGGGGCGGGCATTTGTGTGCGTGTCTCTGTGTGAGGGCTGGAGTGCTTGTGCATATGCATGCAGGTTCCTACGTGCGCAGTTCTTCAACGTTTGAAGACCAGTCTCTGCAGCCTGGTCATTCAAAGGCCACAGACCGGGACCGGTCTGCAGACCAGGGGTTTGGGGGGCCCTGACATAAAGGA